ATTTCCCTGTGATTTTTCTTTTTACCCATTGTTTATTTAGGAGAGTGTTGTTTAATTTCCATACATTTGTGAATTTTCTAAATTTCCTTCTCTTATTCTGGTCAAAGAACATATTTTCTATGACCTTAGTCTTCTTAAATGTATTAAGACTTGTTTTGTGGCCAAAAATAAAATAACTAACTAAATAAGTAAATAAATAAAATAAAAATGGAAGTCTGTGACTATCCCTCCCTGCTGCAGACATTAACAAAAATTTCATCTTTACCCATGATTGAGACTGGTCATTTTCAAAGTCTTTTTTCTTTTAAAAGATAAAATCCTTTTGTTCAGCAAACTCTTAGGAGGAAGCCCAATATGTCAACTACAAAGAATGAAGCTGCTGTGGTGGAGGGGTGTGTGCATGCATGTGTGTGCATGTGTGCTAGGGAGCTGCAGCTCAGGGGTGAGCCCCACCTGTTCCCTCTCCCTCCCATCAGGGCTCCTGAGTAGGTGCCAAGAGCCTCCTAGGTTTCCAGGCAACTGCCAGCAACCCCCACCTTGGCCACGTGTAAGTCAATTCTTGTTTCCCACTTAAGCAAAGCAATGTGACCCACTCATGATCTGTGTCTCTGGTCCTGAGTATTTGGCCTTGTTAAAGAAATTAATGAGGGCTGGCCCGGTGGCACACTGGAGAGTGCGCCAGCGCGGTGGCGCTCCTGCCAAGGGTTTGGATCCCATGTGGAGACCAGTTCCCACTCACTGGCTGAGCGCGGTGCGGGTGCAACACTGAGGGTTGCGATCCCGTTACCGGTCAGTAAAAAAGATAAAAAGGAAAAAAAAAAAAAAGGAATTAATGAGTCTGGCTGGGCACATCATAACCTCCACAACTCCCTTTGCCAACAGATATTGATTTTGCCACCCGCAAGATCGCAATACATCTGATTCAGACAAAGATCATTGATCAAGATGGTAATAACTTCAAGACGCAAACCAATAGCACATTCCGCAACTATCACGTGGATTTCACTGTTGGAGTGGAGTTTGATGAGTACACAAAGGGTCTGGACAACCGGCATATGAAGGTACTGACCCAGATGGCATTTTTCATCGCATACTCTGTGCAGGGGCTGGCTATTTAGCTTCAGGAAGAAAAAATGACAGAAATAACCAGGGAAGGATTAGGAAAGTCCAGAATGACTTAATTAGAAAAAGTCCAGAATGGACTTAATGATGCTGGCAATGAGCACTTATTGAACGTTTACTAGGAAGGGGCAGGCTGTTTTAGTCCATTCCTGTTTCTTTTAACAAAATATCTGGAACTCAGTGATTTATAAGGAAAATGAAATTTATTGCTTACAGCTTCATAGGCAAGTCCAAAGTCCAGGGAACATACCTGGTGAGAGTCTTGGTGGTGGCAACAGTGACCCAGAGGTCTCACATGGCAGAAAATAGTGGAGCAGAGAGAGCAAGAGAGAAACTAACCTCTCATGCACTCTCCTTTTAAAGCCCTGAGAACAGCGCCCATGGCCACCATTTTTAATCCATCCATTTCGGCATGGTTCTGCAATCTAATCACCTCTTCAAGGCTCTACCTTTCAATTACCGTAATAGGATTTCTCACCCTCAGTAGTTACAGTGGGGATTTAAGCCTCAGTGAAGTTGTGGGGGGCATCCAATCTACTGAACAGGCTGAGGATATATTAAGATCTCGGCCATTGCAGGACCTAGGGCAGGGTCCCAACTCATCTACTGACAAGGGCCCAGCAGGCAAAGTGAAGAGAGCAGGTGAACATCTCAGGGAGGGACAGCCAGTGGCCAGATGGGTGATGAAGTTTCATGTAACAAGGGGCAGCCCTGCTCAGCTCCAGCCAAGTGCACTGCCGCAGAGGAATGAACATCAAGAAACATTGAGAATTCAGACGGTTTTAAATGAAATATCTCAATTATAGATAATCCCTGCCGATTTTACTCTTTTAGAAAAGTATGATGCCAGGGCCGGCCCGGTGGCGCACTGGATAGTGCGCCGCTTGGGAAGCGCGGCGGCGCTCCCGCCCAAGGGTTCGGATCCCANCAGCTCCAGCCAAGTGCACTGCCGCAGAGGAATGAACATCAAGAAACATTGAGAATTCAGATGGTTTTAAATGAAATATCTCAATTATAGATAATCCCTGCCGATTTTACTCTTTTAGAAAAGTATGATGCCAATAAAAAAAAAAATCACTAGACTAAATGAAGTCAGGGTTTATCCAGTTCTGGTAACTTGGAGACATATCAGGCAAATTCGTGGCTTCTGTCTCAGCATTGCCTTAACTCACAGAATGTAATCTAGAAAGTCCTCCATGCATCAGAAGGCCAGACATTTGATGGTTTGAACTATCTGAGTATAGGTAGGACCCTAAACACAAGCAGAAAACAACTCTGAATAGGGACTGGAGAATTATCTCGAAGCCCAAGAACGTAAGTTTGCAGAAGAGGTAGGCCCTCTCCCAGAGGAGCTGTTTGTGCATGCACATGCCATTTCTACAATGGGGGAAGTTTAAATATTCACTACATCCTTTCCCTCTGTGCCAGCTGAGCAAGAAGAACCTCTGCCCTGGCTCCCAAGCTGAGGGAGGACAGAGCTGAATATTGGGGTCCCCAGAAATCCATACTCTTGCCCCCAGCAAAGGGCCGGCCCCCCAGGGTGCCACAGTGAAGCAGGACCCTCCACCCTGCCCTTCCCCTTCACCCCAAGCCCCATTCTTCCCAGGGTCAGGCCACCACCCTCAGACTCCTACTCTGTGCTCCCAGGAGCTCTTTCAAAATCAGAGGACTCCACTCTCCCCTAAAGAAGGCAACATGATCTCTGGCTCCTCTCCTGGGGTGGGGAGGACTCTAAAGCTGAGACGAGGACATATTTTATTTCTCAGTTAAGTTGTCCTACAGCACTGATAATCTCATCCATCAAGTTAAGGTTGAATTACATGTGCTGCTCCTTGCTAAAGAAAAGTGGGAAATGAAAAGCACTTTGGACATTCTTCCATCAGAGCAGCCTTGCATGAGAGCGTAAGCTTCTGGGACCTGGAAGTCCACTTGTAGAAACCCCCCTGAGGGGATGGCAGATGGATAAGCCTTTTCTGAACCACATGTCTGAAAGGCTAATTCATCAGACACCAGAACTGATAGGAAAATTTGTCTTCAAATGTTT